TAAGTAATTTTGTCTGCAAAACTAAGAACCACACATGCATTATTTCCCATTGAAATTGGCTTTTTAAAGGAAAGAACAGTAAAAATAGCAGTAAAAATATATGTCATAAAGTAACATATATTAAAAGAACAACATAGTTGCTCCAATCCAACATCTTTTCCGAAGCTGAAGAAGATGCTATGGTCTGCTCTTATGGTTATTCCTCTCAGAAGCAGCAAAGCTCTACTTCCCATTGTATACCCACCCACCACTTCTTCTTAGGGCTCATAATCCACACTCCCATTTTAAAGTCGGGTGGGGACTATTTCCACGACCACAAATCTTCATTCTCACCCTATTAAATTTTTTATTATCAACTTATTCAACTCATCTTTTTTATACCAAATCCATTAGTAATTAAATTCACCACATGCTACATACACCCTTTTTAATAAGTAAACTCACTTTATATTTTGTCATAATTAGGGTTTCATTATCTATCTCATCTCATACACTCACAAAAATATTTTTTTAATATGAATTTTTTCAGTGATATACACGTTAGTATTACTTCTCAATTTAATTCTTTGTTTGATTTCATATTTCATATTTGTTATATGGATTTTCATTATTTTCGATATATTTTGATATCCATGTCAAGTTTACTAATTTTTTATTTAGAATTTATATGTGTGTATATATATGTATGCTTTCAGGTTATGTATTTGTTTATCTTGTTAAGGTTTTGCATCTGTAAAATTCAAGTAAATTAAAACTTTTTTATAAAAAGGGCAAAATGATTATTTGTCACTATAGTATGGGTTATAAACTTGAAATTTTTTAGATCTCAGATGACGAAACGGACCTCACCGTTGGATTCGTCTCACGAAATCTAGTTACCATGTCAAATTTCATCGAATTCCATGATAGTCGAATTTTTCGCATTTTACAGCGCGGTCGAGTCTCGGGTGACCCAAAAACGGGATTTTTGATAAAATTTCAAAAGTTGAAAAATAATTTAAGGCAAATTAAAATAAAATTAATTTGAACTTGAACCAGGGCAAAATTTAATCGTTTCGGGGTGAAAACGGATCCGGGAAAAAAGTGGGTCGTGTGACGCATTGTGGGCCAAGTATAAGACTATAAATAGGAGAGAAAATCTGATTTTCTCCCCATTTATTCAGCTGGTTCCAATGTGAGAAAGAAGAGAGGGAGAAGGCTTGAGTTCTCCACCTTCTCTCTACCATCTACGACATTCCGTCGTTCAAATCCACTCGGACCAAGAGTTAAAGTCAGTCTCCTCGTCGACGGCTATGCCTACATACCAAAAACGAGGATTTTCACTGAAGGTTGAAAAATGAGATTTTGAGAAGGCTTGGATTAGAGTTCGAGTTGAAGTCTTTGAGCTTCCCTATGTGTTCTTTACGCTTCAAGAGGTAGGGTTCCTTCCTACTTAGGTTTATTTCCAACCTGAGTTATCTATATGTAATGGGTGGATTTATAAAATGCTATAGCATGTGCCTATGCTTGTGAAATTGATGAAATGGGTATGAAAATTGATATAGAAATGGGTTAAAATAAATTCCTAGCTTGGAGTTGATATATGGTAATTACTTGTGTAATTCCATGGAAATGTGATTGTGGGCATGCTATGTGTTTAAAATTATTCCTTGGGGATTGAAGTTTGTTATTGGCTTATATTATGTAATAACATGCTAGTGATTGTTGTTGGAAAACAAAATATTGATATATGCTTATTGATGTATTAACATTGTGATAAAGTTGGTAATTGTATGCATGAGATATAGATTGCCATGAAATGTGTTATTATGCGGCTTAACTTGCTCAAATGGCACCCATTACATATGAAGCATGACATTGAGATAGTAATGGTGCATACATTGCATTTGCACGGAAATATTACTTCCATGGGCATGAGACATGGGTGTGGGTATGGGTGTGTGCACAGTTTGGGTCAAACACCATCCTCGATGGATGACAAGTGGGCTCCGTACCATTGGACCAAGGTTCAACAGAGTTCCACGGTTACATAAAAAAGAAAACTTGTGTCGGGTATAGCAAGAAGGGCTAGACACTCCCTTGGGTGCAAGGCCCGGCTACTGGTTCATACACTCCGTCAGTGCAAGTCCAAAAAGTGTAGAAAGGCTTACAGAGCCGGCGATGAGATTCCAAAATCCATTGTCCAACAAAGATACAAGATTTTGGTTTATAAAAAAAATACCCATTCAATGGGTAACATCCATCAATGATTTGATTTTATAAAAACACAACTTTATTTCAAATAGTCATTGGATGTATTTTCGTCAATTGATGGATTCATTATACAAGTGCATTGCATTGTGTTATGGGAGTCAGTGAGGACTCAGGTTAAAACGCATGAGTGAGTGTCATCTCATTTCATGACATGACATGGCAAAATCCCTAACATAGGATTGCATTGTCTTGATTGAAAAGAATGTTGTTTGTGGATTGTTGCATGTAAACATTACATATGCACTTAGGTGGAGAGTAGCCTCTGTAGGAAATATTCTACTGAGCATGGCTCACCCTATACGGGAAAACATTTCAGGTGTGAGATACACTCTGGCGGATGGTTCTCACTAGGAGCCTCAAGGGGGAAAAGGGGCCAACTTGTGGCCTTTAACCTTAGTTTTTTGTAAACTTTTGTTAAAACCTCGTTTTGACATTGTAAATACATGTAAATTAATTGTAATGACTTGTAAAAATGAGGGTTTATGTGAAAAACTCTATCATGCATGTTTTGGATGAAAATGAGACGGTTTGAAATGGATTGGAAATGGAAAACAGGTANCTCTATCATGCATGTTTTGGATGAAAATGAGACGGTTTGAAATGGATTGGAAATGGAAAACAGGTAAAAAAGGCAAAACTGGACAAAGTGTACCGGTATAGTCTGGTCCAGAAAGAAAACCGTACTTGTACGCCGTACCAGTACGTAGTACCGGTATTGTCTTCTAAAATTTGAAAATTTTAAATCATTTTGCCATGCTTTTGGGCTTTGTGTTTCCTTAGTTCCAATGATACAAATGGACATTAAATGAGGTATATTGGACCTTGGTTGTATTAATGATCAAAGGAACACGAGTTACACGTGTCGGTTGAAATCCCGGATGAAGGGATACTATTGACGTGATGTCGGATTGTTCGGCACTCACGGGTATTTCCGCAGGTTGATTGGTGGTCAATGGTTAATAAATGGCACCCTGGATTTTGGGGCGTCACAGCATCTATGCATATTATTTTTTTTTCTTATTCGATTTTATGTCTGTGCTTGATATTTTTTATTTCTTTTCATATTTAGTTTTATGTCTTATAGTTTTGTTTGTTCCTTTAATTTTTGTTTAACTTTTTTTTTCTTGTTTCAGTATGCTTATTTTATTTATGTTTTTCCTTGTTTCGTTCTTTTATTTTATTTCTTACGATGACTTCTTTCATTAAAGGAGTGTACATAGAATGAGTGAGTTTAACTATTAATGGGGTATATATAGCATGAGATGGACTTAGTTCCTAATAGGATAGACTAAATAGTTTGATAATGAAAAATTAAATGGAGTGGGAATAAAGATTTGTGTAGTGGGAATAAATCCACCCTTTAAACATTAAAATCTGCGTTTCTGTTTCCATCTCACACAGAAAAACACACACACACGAGTTGCACATCTCTGAATTTCTATCTTGGGCTCCTTATTACAAAGCCCATATATCAAGCTCATAGTAAACATTCCTTTTAATATATTTTTTCCTCAATTTTCTTTTTCATCCATTAATCACTGTTAGTGAGCTAGGGATTCAATTATATATAATAAATCTTATTTAAATATATGATAAATGATCCATAAAAAAAAAATTGAAATCCATTAATAGGCAACTACAATATTGTATATGGGCTTCAACTCAAGAAATATTTATTTTATCATCGAGGTGATAGCCTAGTTAACTTCAATAAAAGGTAAAAGTCCTGCATTTCTCTAGTAATCATAGGTTCGAACCTACTTATGATAGTAGTCTCACTAAACCAAATATTGTTGGAGGGGCTCAATGTCTAACTTACCTTCGATGGTGCTGTGGTGATGGGCTCAATCATCTTAGGTCAGTAATTATGGTTCAAAACCAACATTTTATAACAGCTAAGAATCTCAAAGTAACGTCCTGCGAGGGTTGTTACACCTACCAAGTCGCCCCTAACCACCACTTTCTTGACCAAAAAAATAAGATTTATTTTAAAATTGTTTGAGTTAAGTTACATGAATTCTATACTACTATATTCTATGACAACCATACTCTTTGTCAAACAATAATTATCATATTTTTTACTATTTTATTTATTTTTCTTTAGTCTTCCTTTTCTACTTTTTCGATTATCATGAACACATCACTTTTTTTTTTTGCTGGTCTAGTAGTTTACCTTCTATAAATATATAGAACCCATCTAAGTAGATTTTCTTTTAATTTATCTATGATATATGTCATTTCTATTTTCTTTATGAACATTTACATTTGCAATTCTATTCTTCTTAGTTTTATCACATATATATCATAGTAAGTTTAATGCACTACACTATGTTTTTTTGAAGGCATCATCCTTACAAAATCAAGTGAATTTACCACTTTTTCCACATAATTTTAGATTTAGATTGGTTTTCCACTTATATATATTTTTTGGGTAAGTTGGTTTTCCATAATAGGAAAACAAATTCAACAAAAATTAACATTATGGTGCCCAGAAATAATTTTTAGGGACAATCCTAAAAAATAATTTCTAGTTATAAATCTTGGTTTTATCTATTTGTAACCACTGATAATAAAAATAATAAAGTAAATTCAAATAGTAAAGTAAGAAAATCTTACACTTGTTTCTCGTTACATGAAAAAAAAAAAAAAAGGCATTGTACCGAAAATTACTATACATTTAACACATACAACACAAAGGGTTAGTTGCTCTGGTGATTGGTCAAAAGCAAATCTCTAGACTAATAATGTTAAACATTGTTGGGATCTCCTCCATCTGGCTCAACTTCCACATTGCTCATTTCTGGAACAGTACTATTACACTGAAGCAGACATGGATTAGCTGATAAAATCTTTTGACTCTCATTGGAAGGAGTTGCATTTAGTCTATGCATGCTCTTGCTGTCAGGCAAAGAAGAAGATGACACATTTGATGCACTATCAGTTTTGGGTTGGGAAACAGATGCCACATTACATGAACTTCCGGTTTCAAGCATAGAAGAAGATGCCACATTCTCTACTCTCTTGGTTTCAGGAAAAGAATCATATGTCACATTGCATTTGTTCTTAGATTCGGGCAAAGTGTTAGATCCCACACTACGTGTGCACTCCATTTAAGGCAGAGAAACAGCTCCTACATTGGTTGGGCCAGCCCCCAGTTCACTGCACTTTCCAATCCCATCTTTTCCCCCACCTACAACACCGCCTAGGAATCAATATTAGGTCATATAAGGGAAATTTCGGGATATAGAAATAGAGGGGGGTGGGAAAAAAGAGGGGGGAGGAGAGAGAAGAGAATAAAAATTAGCACCATGGCTAAGGACCTGCAGGTTTCTTTCAAATCCAGGGCGCAAACCGAAAAACAAAAGGACTAGGCTAAACCCAGTTAAAAGTTGGGAAAAAAATTGCAAGAAAAATAAATGAAGAAAGAAAATCTGCAATGTGCCACAATTGTCATTTTCTCTGAATTTCTCATCTTTGCTCTACCATGTAAAAGGAAAGACAAGAAATGAAACATTGTAAAAAATATGATAAGAACGACATGTATGAGAAGCCATGGCTGTGGGTAGGCCTATACTGGAAGGCACAGATGAACTTCCACCTCCCTTTTTCATCTTGGACTGAAATACATAACCAGAACTCATTATGCATTAGTTCTTCAGAACTATATATGGTCTTATTTAGAGAATTTGTTGAACGGGACGTAGAAATGGCCAAAACCATCCTAGCAATAGGCAAGCAAAAACTGAATGAATCGCATTCGGAGTTCAATCATGCTTGCGGTTTCAAAGGTATGGAAACTCTTCTTTTTTTCCCTCAACTTTCACTGGTAAAGGAAAGATAGATAAGCTTCTATAGACATTTTATAAAGAAATCCCCCAACAAAAGAACCAATAGTTTTTCCACTACTAAATTAATTTCAAGATACTTGGAGTATATTGAGTCAAAGTTCTGAATAAATACACAGGACAAGACTAACTATCAAAACAAGAGAACTTCTAAGTTGTTAGTTCTGAATTTGTTAGTTTCATTGTTATTTGCAACTATTGTGTACTCAGATTTAGCTGGGATGTTGATTGTTATATGTTAGGTTAATTGGTATGCATCCCTAGCTTGCTATGATGTATAGAGGTGTGCCCCTCTTCGTTTCATAAATCATTTCAATTTCTGAATTTTATACACCAGCTTAAGTTATCCTACGTAGACCTCCAATCACATTTATTTACAGAACCATACTGACATGTCAACTAAAGAACTCTGCCAAGGAGCTTAGATCACATACCTTTGGCATTTGCTTCACCATACTTTATAACAATTGAGATATTAGGGCAATGACCAGTCAACAGTGTATAGGCCCACAAAAGAAGCTTCCGGGAGGTATTCATATCAAGAATGTCAACCCCATCTATGCCCAGTTGAATACATGTTTCTATTGCTAACTGAGATGGTGCCATATAAAGGTTTACACCTGACGGGAGCATAGCACAAGAGGTGTCCCTATAGAAGTTGTATGAAGATCTCAACAATGTTGTGGCAGGCTCCAAATCTTCATCAGAAACTTTCTTGATTATAGCATTCTTAATCTTGGACAATGAAGGGTTCCACTTTTGTTTCAAGAATCTTTAGATGGTTTGGGTCCTCAAATGATGAATTCCATAATTCATCTATTTGCAGATCAACACAAAGCAGTTGGGTGTATTTTGAACCACTATCTGATAAATTACGAACTTAGATCTCACTTGACAGTTTGGTATGTAATGGTGTGATCAGGGCCATGCTGGTCACAAGTGATCGACACCAAGCAGCAAAAACATGCTTGTAAACCTTCGCGCAGTTACTATTTGATAACTTTGGGTTCTTCAAATGCTTTCTTATCTTCTCATTCATTCCTTCAAGCATTTCTAGCTTGGCATTGCTCTCTAACAACTGGATGTATTGATAGAGATATCTGCAAAGGGTAACCTGTTTAAATTATTGTGAATAATAAACTAAGTGTCTAACTTATATATCTGACCTCAGTACTGCATTGCGCTCATCTAAATCAGCATTCTGAACATTTTTAATTTGTGATTGTTATTTTTTTAATGACCTACCCATGTAAGTTGCTTTCCACCAACTTTGGGCCCTTGATCTTAGGCAAATTGCATATATCGGACCATATGGTCACCTGTTCCAAGAACAAAGAGAACATCTTCTCTAGAAGATGATCAAGAGAGCTACTCGTAGCTCTAGAGCCATTGTCAGTTCGATGCATGGATGAAGTTAGAGCCTTGAGGAACCTACCAAGTGCTACTGGAACAAGATCTTCCAGGCACAAGGAGAACTAGATCTATAACAAGTTAGCTACAAATTGACTTGATGAGCAACAAAACAAGATTAGTCATCTACTCATGTACCACCAAGCTAGAAGTGGCATGTAAATTAGAACAGGGATGATGACTTCCTTTGGAAATACTAACATTGCATAAGCTAAAATTAATCAAGATAATATAGTGAAGATCTATTTCTTGGCGAAAAGTATCAAACATGAAAGCTCCACAACGTCCATGGAAATTATTTTCCAGGAAACACAACATTGACTAAGATGTGCAATAATATCCTCTAAAAAAATGATCAATGGCAAGTATAGGATCAACCACCAGATCTCATTTGAAAAGAAGTCAAATGAAATAAAAGTTCATTCTGGGAGAAGGTTTTCATAGAAATCAATGTACTCAAGAACATCAGTCTTCTTAATTCAAGTAATCACCTAATCATAGAATTCGTTTCATCTAGAATCGCTCCAAGCTTCATTTCCTAAATATGATAGGCTCGTAATATATTGCCCATGATATTTTTCACAACATACACTAGATTAAGAAAATGCTAAAAGGATTGACATGTTCATACCTTCTTATCTGCCCAAATAGATATGAAAGCACAGTCCAAGGGTTTAAAAGAAGAAAAAAGGAGTGAACAAGACCCACCTATTCCTCTTCCTGTTCTTCTCAGCTAGTCATATACACAGTGGAGAGAGTGGAGTGTAACCAGTGAATGGGTCTCCCATCCAACCTTATAATTATAGGTATCAAAGGTTATTTAGCCGGCACCAACGTTCAAAAAATTGTGTAATAACAATACAGCATTTTGTGACGATAATCTTTCCAGTAATAACAACTTCACTTTTTTTTTTCACAATTACTTCCCCTAGAATTGGATAAAGTAATTCATGGCTTTGTGGTGTTAAAACATATTATTACTTCACATTTTCATTTTCTATAATGCCAGCAAAGCAGTAAAAAAAGAAAGGAACAAGAAAGAAACAAGAGAACACGGTCTGTTTGGTCATGTCCAAACATACCTTCCTTTTTTGACCATACCATCAATCTCCCACATATTTATAGTAAAGGAAGAACGAGATGACTTAAAGCAAAAAGAAAGCTCCTCCTTAGCCTTCTCGAGATCCCCACTCTCACCCCTCCTATACAACCCTTGAGCAAGAATATCTGGCTTTATGAAAATATTTGAGGTCCCCTTCAACACAAATTTTAAGGGTTGAAAGGCAATCATCGTAAAGCATATGCCACACCTCTTCCAACTTATAGTCAGAATTGGCATCAGTACTTCCCTCAACATCCACTGGTGACTGTGAAGTTTTAGGGTACATTCTGTCAAACATATTCATGACAGTATCCTTTGTAGATTGAGTACAGGAATATGCTGCAACAACCTGAAGAAATCCAGCAACAAATAACAATAATCAATAAATATGCATCCAATAACTTAAACCTATGCAAGTCCTAAAGGTCATATGCCAAAAACATTTGCAATGAAGAAGTCAAAATATATCCTCCTCCTCTGTTTTTGTGTGTGTGCATCTATGGTTTTGCGTGCTTCTGCATCAACATCTACATACAGATGTATTATCCATATAAAAGCACCAGAAGTAAAAAGTCTTTGATGGAAATAACATTAAAGACAAGGAGAGAACAAAGAGGCAAAAATAGTAATAAAAACATATAGTAAGTTTCACAAAGAAAAAAACCTTTAAAGCTTGTTCATTTTTTCCCAACCGTATAGAGCAACTTCAAGCGTGAAGCATGCATCCTGTAGAAAGGATCTGCAGCTAATGGATTCAAAGCAATAGCCTTTACAAAATATGAGAATGATATATCATGCGAGTATTCGAGCTTTTCATAGAGTTTTCCCATATAAAATGCATGAGACCAATCTTCCCTGTGAATACATGTTTTCATCTTAGTTGGTCCAGTTTTTATATGTGAAGTCAAGAAATAATAAGGATAATAAGTGCAAAAAGCAAATATACTTATATTCTAAAGCCTTCTTGAAATGTCTCATTGAATTCTGGCAGAACATTATCCATGTTGTCTCTTCTTTGCGGGTACCACAGATCTTTGATCATAAAATGGCACCACATTTAGAAGACCATCATAGTATACCAATGCCAATAACTCATGTATCTCAGCCTACAACCACACAGAACTTTTTGCAATGGCTGACAACACACATATCATATAGCAAATAGTAGAATTCAGGATCAACAAGAAAACCACTGGCATCTAGTCCTCCAACATAAATTCATGGTTTCTCAAGCAACTTCAATGGGCCATCTCCTCGTTCAGCCTGCTAGCCTATTGGGCTGAGACATGGAAGTTATATGTTGGTGCAGATTATACTACAAGACGGGCCAAATCTAGAAAATTACTAGTATACTAATCATCACAAGTGGAACATTTTAACAATTTAATGGGATACATGTAAGATAATGACCATCCAAATTCAATAATAACATATGATGATGATCCAAGATCAGCAATCACCATAAGCTACATGTTGTAGCAAAATCTTTAGTAAGATGTAGATATCTAACAACCATAGTGTTTTTAAACCTACACAACTAAGAAGTAATGAAACCTGTTGGGCCGCTGTGTTGGCCAAAGCCAAAGTCATCAACAAGCACCGCCTGCTCCTTCTTCAACTTGCCTCAACTCTCTGAGGTAAAGTAGCATTTTTCCTCCATCCTAATACATTTATTTGCTTACTGCCATCATTTAGTAGTAAGTCCACCTCCTGATGCATAAAACCAAAGAATTTCTTCAGCCAATCTATATTAAAGGTTCAGATTTTTGAATCTGTGCCAAAATTTCTTCCATCCCTTCAAAGTTTCTTTTGTTCATTTCTCTAGTGTGTTTCTACAGCATTTACAGATGCCAAAACAAAATAACCAAAAACCCTACCTCATCATAAATATTCGCAAGTCGCTGCCAACTCTCAAAGCGTAGAGGATTGAATAGTAAATCATATTTAAAGAGATTCGCATTTTGCTCCACGAATTCTTCCCTTTCCTTGGTGATGATTACAAAGCCAACCCATTTATCAGTTGCACTCATTTCTTTAGGCAGAGCAAGGAGATAATACAAGTTGCAATAAACCTCCAAATATGGCTCAGAACTGCAATTAGTTGATAACACAGTCAGTTGTTAATACCAAAGTGATTATAAAGTCTATGGACTAAAGCATCTAATGGAAGAAACAGTGTAATCAGAAGATAATACCTCCCTGCAGATAATGCCTTTTGTTGTTTGAGGCTTCCGGAATCAGAAAATAGTATCTTTGTAATGGCATCAAGAAACCCATTAGATCCGGCCTCTTCTGAGAGTCTATCTTCACACAAATCAGGATCATCTAAAAACTTATTTATCACATTTCCAGCTAAAACATTGACAAGTGGTTGTGGAAAGTGTTTGGGTATAGCTCTTAATACTCTCCGATGTTTCACTAATCTAGTTCTCTGAAAACTTTTTAAACATCTATATAATAAAACATGATTGTGTTTGAATTTTATCTCAGTCATATTTTTTCCCTCAAAATCATCATCAATCACTTACCTCACCCATCATCCACTTGTCAGATTCAAACATCAAATCACATCACTCATTTCTATCACATATTTAATCATTTATATATTTTCTCCCTAAAAATATCACACCACTCATTTCTATTATATATCTAATTTTATATTTTATCGTGCCTTCAAGCACGGGTTATGACTAGTTATCCAATAAAATAGACATCTGAAAAGGCACTATCACCATAAAAAATCTTCTAAAAAGATGTATCAATGTTATACAAAAGGTGAACCCTGATAACTGAAATGGACGAGGGGGGATGGGAATCTACTCACAGAGGACGCCTTTGCATAGGGCAGTATGTACTAAAAAACATCAGCACACTATTCCTTCGTCTGATAATCTCCCCTGCTTGTATTTTTGTGCATGGCTAGATCATCTTCACCAGATGAATCAGATCTAAGTTTCAAACCATATAAACAGAAAAAGCACTGATCCAAACCATTACCAATTCCCAGTTCAAGCTCCTCCCTTTCATCTTTAGTTAGTTCATTGCCACATCCGACAAACTGAATGCTTGCTTCTTCTGCTCTACGGAATGTGGCACTGGACCCATCACAAATATGTTTGCCACATTCTACTTCTGTTTTCTTATTCCCTAAATCTTTATGAGGTGATACGCCCACTGAGCTCGTCCTTTCAACAGTATCCTCCTCCATAGTGATGGCTTCATCTATATTAGTTCGATCCTCTTCCATGTTCACTAAATCCATTTTTGATTCAACTAGAGATCTTTTAACATTACTATCATCGCAAAGCTGCTCCAACCATTTGACATGATTATCGTGGGAAGGCTGCTCATCCCTTGAGTCATTTTCAGTCCCCTATTTAAAGAATGGAAATTAAATTTAAGTTTCATATCTAAGGCCAATAGGTGTTGTATTACAAATTTAAGAAATGTTCCTCCCTCCTCTTCACCAGATGCACCCCAATAGCAGAGGCCATACTCAGCAAGCATGTCATGGATACACACGATTAATTTAGACTGAGATAACAGTCAGAGAAGATTATGTGTCACTAATGAGAAAGAAATAATTCATTGCATAGACATACTGAAATGTGAACTTTCATTTTCGGCAGAAGTAAACTCACTTGAGTTTTGACAGGGACAGGGGGTTCAAGTGTTGAAGTTTGCAGAATGCAATAGTTGCATCTATGAAGCAACACCTTTGACTTGGATTATTTTGATCTGAACTACCAGGCCCATAAGTCTCCTTAGAGAAGTCATGCTTGCAATATTGCTCATGCGTGCCAACAGTGATGACTGAATATCGCCAATGGTTTTCAATGGAACAACAGAGCCATTCTGCAAGCAAAAAAATCGTTATATACTATAATAAACACAGTATATCAATCTTAAAAAACTCAAGATATTAAATAACAAAGATGTCAGGAATTTATATCAATTTATCTCCACAAATTAAAACTTTGATTGAGAAGCATATAGTCTGGGTAATATCAACTACTTTAAACCAAAACTAGCCTCTGGTGTGGTTAAACATGGCACCGGCAACTAATCTGAGGTAAGCATCAAGACTTGCCTCTAGGAACCACCTGCCAAGAGCTATATAAACCCCTTGATGGCAAGTCATAACATTGATAATAACAAGATGGGCACACAATTTCAGGTTAATAGCATAAAAATTCAATTTATGTATCCCCACATGGAACAAAAAAGACCAAAAAAAAGTAAGGAAAACAAATATCCCAAAGGATAGGTGAAGTTTAAGACAAAAGTAATATCTTTGCTGGAATACATTTTTTTATGCTTTAAATCAAAGACTAATGTCAAGTTCAAGCTCATCATAGGAGTGCTGATAAACCCAATTGGAAAGGTTGCTGATGGAACTGAAAACATATACGTTTTGGTGCTACAGGCTTAATTGCAGAAGCCATTGATTATCAATCACTCATGACTACATCACTAACTGGAGTATGCAGAAATGAAATGCATTAATCATTTCACCAACAGGACATGCTAATTTAGGCAGGTAGACAGTGTGGGGATCATATAAAAATCTAATAAACCTGTAAAGGTGAAAGGTTGATTGAATATTAATTCATTGCTTTTATGTCAATCATGTTCAACTGACTTGGCAGCAAGATGGACAATAATGAATGGGTGATACACATTAAGGTAATAATTCAGTAGTTAAATACTAAACTCACAGTCATGTACTTGAACAAATTACTGATATGGGATTCAGTAAGTCTCTGTGAACAAGTAATAGACTCGATTAAACTAAATAACAGGAGCAACTGCTTGGCGGATTGGTAAAAGCTAAGATGTCAAGCCTATTTTTAGAGAACACAGGTCTAAAACTAAGGGCAAACAGTCGAAGCAATTAAAAAGAGGTTGTGTCTACACCTTATTAAACTCATAGAGCACCCATTTTACCTTGCATAAATGGGACCAATGTTAGGTCAAAGCCTTCCTACAACTGCACAGAGATACTCCATATGCAAGTATCCACGAATTATCAGGAATATTTCACACGAGTTACGACAACTTAAATCTGGGTTGGGCCACAATAATATTTGATTCAATAAATATTGAAGGATCCTATGATGTAAAGCATGTGAAAAATGAAGTGATGCACAGTATGGCAGATTAATTATAAACCTATGACCCAATAAAATCATGACTGTCAGCTATTGCTGAATGGGTATGCAATGGTGATCCTAAATTTTTCAGCAGACTATGGTCCAAAAAGAAGAGGATGACTTCGGAAGAAAGTCCGCTGGAGTCCTTGACATAAAACAACTACCGAGGCAGAAATCTGCAATCCACTTTCCCTTATTATGCTTCATATCCCTGTAGGAAAAGATAGAAGATCTTGGAAGTCATTAGCTACTGACTGAATGGCTAAGCAATTGAGGTCAACTTCCCTAACCTAGGCAAGTCTGTTTTTGGGTTTGACCAATTTCCTAGGCCGAGTCTTAGAAACCTTTCTCCCTATTGTGACATGAGTTAATTTCTTGACCTCGTTGTATTGGGTTCTAGACTTGTCAGTCAAGACTTGAATTTGCCATTGAAGAATTTCTAGACTGTTGGTGGGTTGATATGTAGACACATTGGGAGCTCACCCAAGGCTGGGCACCTAGACCTGATGTAACCTTCCACCTTCAATGAAAACATATAGGAATGAATTTTGTGAAGAAAAGTGCAAATTTGACCTAGGAGGTGCTATTGGTGGACTTCTCACTTGTGAGGCTGAGGACCCTTTTACAAACATTGTATTGGTTCTCGAGGTGGAGGGGAGTAAACATACCACATCCTAAACCTGCTTTAACACTCTTCAACTGAAAGTGCCAGGTAGCCTATTAAATTTCTCTTACCACTTATCTGAGCCAACCTTTATTCTCTAGTATTAGCTAGGTCTTGCTCAACCTTGGAAATTTTCTGCTCAAGACCTTTCTTGGATTCTCCATGGTTGAAGATCTTTTTCTGACATTTCCCCACCCTCAGCTATTGCGTTTCTCTTATCCACAACAATAAGTTACTCTCTGGGAGTAACTCTGTGACAACACCCTTCAACTAACTAACCAGAGTTTCACATTCTGCCGCTTCTTTTTTAAGACATTTCTCTCCTTCCAACTAACTAGATCTTGTAAGATATGTTCATCTATGCCTTTCTCATCTTGAGAGATTCCTTGTACAGCTCACAACAAGACTCACATCTGGATGTTCATACTTATCAGTTATCAAGGCCATCTCTCGTGTCTAGATCTTCAGCAAGGGACATCTCACAGATTTTTCCTACATGGTGAAGCTTGTATAATTACATTCCTTATCGGATGAAGAATCATGGAACTGTTTGAGTCAGGCTCACAGTCACTAAGAGTAGTATTCATTACCATAAACCAGGAACAAGCATTACAACCTTTAAAACTTCAAAAACACGTTCCAACTCAGAAAAGGTTGAAACATATGCACAAAGTGCATGATTGTCATGAAAAGAAAAATAAAAGTTATCCTCTACAACATATAAGTTTCAAAACCAGCCACTATTATCCATCAAGTTGAGAATTATAAGTAAAAGTAATAAGTGTGAAAAAATTTCATGCAAATGCTAATTCCAACACTCATAATGAACTATCTATATCAGAGCTCTTATTTGGGAATATTTGGATAATGAAACTGTGGCCATAGAACCATCAACTTTTGAGGATGAATGTGACTCACAGAATTTCCACAAGGATGGATGAGGTTCTTCATCTGCGAGACAATTTGAGATATTGCCTTCACTTCGTTATCAACCAAATGATTCTAGTTCTTGCTTGGGTTTTCTTTTAAGCCTGACATTTTCTCAAAAGCATGACATTCTTCCACACCAGGTGCAACCATGAGTATTTGTAGCTTCTGTTGGTGACAATTCAAAAGGACCTGAATGCCCATCGGCTCTACGTGTTCACATGCTTTAATTAAAACATCTAATGCTGACAGTTCAAGTGAAGTAACCTCGTCACCTTCTTTGATGGCAACATATAATAAATCAGGATACACATCTTTTGCAGAAATTAGAAGGGGGGCAAGCAAACTTACACACTCAGAATGCGTGTCTTTCTCAATCATCTCGCCTACTGTCTTTTTCAACAAAAAATCCACCTCCAGTAAATTAATCTCATGCAGAACCCTATCAATTGTTAATTTTTNGGAAAACTTACACACTCAGAATGCATGTCTTTCTCAATCATCTCGTCTACAGTCTTTTTCAACAAAAAAATCAACCTCCAGTAAATTAATCTCATGCAGAACCCTATCAATTGTTAATTTTTTAATGGCTTTGCAGTGGGGCAAGCAAACAGATCCAAGAGAGCCAGTCGTATTATCCCTATTCATCAAAAGTGTTAAGGAAAGACAGAATTCTTCTTGAGCTTTAGCTTTGTTACCATCCAAAACTGATAATCGCCCACTTGACCAAAAAAAATGAACCCAAAATGAAAGTTTATTGCTCAACAAAGAAGAAATGTCAATTGGCATTTCACAATTGTGCTGAGAACTATCTGTCGAAGAGGAAGTTTCACCCCCAGCTCCACCACTCACGTGGAACGGATAGTCTAGAGCTACCGATTCGATTATCTTACAAAGATGATATGATGGTTCTGACATGAAACCAGACATCCTGAACTTATCTGGAGAACGTGATCCAAAATTATAATACAGCTCAGCAAGAAAAAGACACCATTCAGGTGTCCTATCCCTCCCCTAGTGCCTTGTCACCTTCTCCAACTCCAAAAACTTGGCAAAGGTGTCCTGATATAACATGCTTCTACTTGCCATCTCTTTTAAAAGCAAGTGACCCAAGTGGTAAGCACCATAATTTTTTGAGGTTTCTTGAACAAATTTGGTAACATCACTTCTTTCATTGTTCAGTAGACCAGCCACAACCTCAGCACATTGAAAAGAACAGGCGGCATCATTCTTACTATTTTTAGTTCCTGCTCCACCCACAATAAAAGGTTCTAGAAATTGCACTACAATTTTTCCCAGATCGTTATTGTTTACAAAATCTAATTCTTCTTTACCCGGTTTACAACTTCTAAGCCTTTCAAGACAACTACTTCGCCTCTCCTGAGGTTGTTCTTCATACATAATTGCTTCCTTCTCAGTAACAACACTACCTTTGCATGAATTACAATTACTATAAGACTTATTTTTAGCAAGTGGGCTGACAATACATTCTTTTCTTTCCCCAGACCCGATAATAATTCCTGAACTGTGAGGCATCTATATACTTAATCTAACATCCCCAGATCTAGTTAATTTCTCAGGCTCTTGTTCATAACCAGATCCACTCAATGGAAGTAAGATTTCCAGAAGTATGTCAGCAAGAGCTGTCCAAGAAGCCTCGGGGATGTACAATTCTATGTTCTGGTTCAGCTTTTTGGACAGGATACCATCATCTTGATCATTGTTTGTTGCTTTTCTCTTCTCCAAAAATTTCAACCGGACACATTTAGGTTCCAGTTTGTCTATACCTCTTGGAGCATATAGGATTAGTTCAGACTCCTCAATGGTACTTTTGACATGCAAAGCACGAGAATGTGACGGCCAATGCCTTAAAATCAATTCTGCAACAGAAAGGCAAGCAACCTCATCACCAATTGCAATAAGAACTTCCAAGAGTTTCTCCATGCAATTCCTTGTATGCATTGTCCAATGACGGGAAAACACAAACTTTAGGGACATAAAAAGATAGTAATCATACAAGATGATCAAAATTGGCCCACAAAGAGTACAAACATAAACTAGAAACTACAATAGTTCTCCAACAACAAAATAGAAAAAATCAAAGTTCATGCTTACAATTGTTGGGGCTGCAAAAAAGCCCCTGCTCAAATGCCCAACAATGGAAAGGTTCTTCAGTGCCAAAAACCTGCAGAAAACCAAATGAATAGTAGTGACACATATATTTACAGATATATTTAATAACAATTCTTCGATTCTTGGATTAATAGATTTGTGGATATTTGCAGCAGTAAAACCAACCAAAGTAAGATACAAATTAGTCAATCTTTGCATCAATTTAATTCCAAAAACTGTAATTTCTCCACTTGCTTTCAAAAGATGAGATATTTATCTAGCTACCAATACTTTACCTGACCTTAGTTGCACTACAAGACAATTTCTCTAGGTTACAGCAAGCATACTAATGTTTTCATAGATGATGTAAAAACTTTAATTACTTTTGTTATTTCTGTTTGATACAGACCCACAAGGTGTTCCTCTTACTTAAGAGACAGGATCTCCATTACGGAGAATCTTCTTTGACTCAGAATTCTAGTGACAATATCTCTGTATATTTTTGAAATAACTTGAGAAAGTTCCAGTTTTGAAGAATCCAACATTAATTTATGGAAAGAATATCTCAGAAATATAGTAGTGAAGATTTTTATGTACACATTATTAATATATTTTTATGTAATATTTAAGATAATTGTTAGCTAGTTGTTTTAGTAAGTGAGTTAGTGGAAGCGTAATTTTGTGGGTAGTTTCCTATGTGGTTACTATGATGGTGGAGTTATGAGTTAGGTTAGTTATTAAGATAGTTTTTATTATATTGCATTTAAATGTCTTCCTATTAATGAAATGGATATGTTGAATATTATATTGCATTCAGCTCTTCTCAAATTGAGTCATTGGAGGTTTTCACCCCCTCATAGTGGGTTTTCTTCTCCAATTCTATTATTTCTTTGTTTTACAAATCACTCAAAATCGTGCACATAACAATTAGTATCAGAACCAGACATGAGGACTAGATTGATCGACTTGAGGCAAAAGTGTATTCATTAATTGTCAGATAAGAGAGGATGATGAAAAAGGTTCATGAGATGTTTCTCGCCATTAACAATCACTTTGAAGAATTAGGGGCTGGTCAAGATCAAGAGAGATAACTAAAGCTAGGGCGCCACCCAAGGACAAATTCATGGCTTCACCCCTAATGCCCATAGTTGAAAACACACAATAAAGTGCATTCTTTTTTCTTGAATCACTTTATGTGTCAACAAAGACTACTATACATTTGGAGAGTAATTTGTCTAAAACAAAACTCACTAAATGATCTCTAAATGTCTCGAAACCAACAAGGAAACTACAACTTTTGGATTCACACTTGCAGAGCCGATAGTCCAACAATTTTTCACCACTTATATCAACTAAGCAAACCATCTTCTAATATGAAACATGAGGGCTGAATATTGATTTCTTTAAGAGTATGGATATAGTTTAGAGAATAATGTTAAACCAAAGCATGGAGTTCGTAGAAAAATACTGTCACCAGAAGATTGAAAAGGTTGAAAAGGACAAGCATCAGTAGTCACAGACAAATACTATTGCTAGAAGATTGAAAAGGTTGAAAAGGACAAGCATCAGTAGTCACATATAGTGGAAATAACAAACAAGTGGTGATGATCATTACTGACAATTACAGTAGCAAATATAGGGGATGGATTGGCACCAATGAGAAGAATTAATCGAAAAATAAAGACGAAGCAAATAAAATAAAGAAAATGGGCTTAAATCTGAACCTGAGCAATAAAAGATGGCTATCACTAGCACTACTATCCACCTAAAAACACAGAGTTATATATGTGAGAATCTAATATATAGAAGACTATTCACTTAGCCATCTAAGAATCCTCAAGAGCATGTAGTACCTGGGCACCAAATATAAGAGGATCTTTTAAGACGCTTCTAAAAGTTTGCGAGCTTTCTTATATTCTTTGGCTTGTAATTTCAGAAGTCCTTCATGATAAGTTTGAGAAAGATGAATCTCCTGCCATCACCCAATTACAAATAACGCAAAAATATATAGCATAAGAGCAAACCAACCTATTAATGGCTTACAATGAGAAAGAATATAGCACTATTCATATTTTTTGACATGATGGAGAATATTAATATGTTAATGACATTAACAAGTAGAAAAAAAATCAAAAAAAACTTTGGAATCTACAATACTAAAACTGATCGATACAAGTAACTACTCGTAGTGTGTAGTCTTCCTACCGAAACTGACAAATCTAGATTCTATACGGGAATTTTGGCCTTGTATCTCAACATCTTACCATCGTAGTAATCTTTAAACTAAAGCAAAATTAACTTTACGATGATATCATGTGACAATTAACTTAACAACACACCTTCAAAACTAACTAATGTGACATTGATTCCAGCTACGAATACAACTGTTGTGAAGTAACCAAACAACGCAAGCTAGGATCAAAATAGGATTTTATCTTAAAAGGGATTGAATTATAGCAAAGTCTAAAATCTGAATTTTATTCAACTGGCTTATTTAATATGTTATTGTTAACGTTAACTTTTAATTATCTATGATATGTTAAAAACAACTTTCACCCAATACCGGATGTTGTATCTACTTTCAGCAAAGTCGATAAAATCAATTCAACTTTGTTAAAAAAATATGTTAAATGTTTTAGAATAATTTATCAAACACAAGAAAAATTAAGTTCAATTTCATTACGTAATCATTCATATACATCTACATTTTCATTGAATAAAATTTCAGTAGGAAACTTCAAATAATCTATTTCCATTACAACTCGATATACTCTTAATTTTACTTAAAGAATTAATAATTCTGGCGAAATTCCAAAACATAATTTAACACAATATATAGTTTGTTGAGCACATGAGGGGGGCCAAGCCATTAGGTGCTAGTATCAATGCAAGCATATGCATCTTGTCAAGTTTTGACAGTAGTTGAAAAAATTTTTAAAAAACTTTTTTTTTCTTCATCCGAACAGGTTCAAATTTTCCTAAGAAGTGCCTAATTTTATCCAAATGCATTTCCTAAACCATGTGATCAATAGGTAATGCCCTTGTCAAGGATATTTGAAAAATTAGAAATATAAATTTGTGTTAAGACTCCCATTATAATAATATAATAATAGGAAACTTGAAAAATCAAGGTATGTATCACCTTCTAATAGTCAGTCATGTTATTATTATCAAATGGACCAGAATCTCCTCCGAAATTAAAAGTATATTTATTTTAATTAAACTAGTGCGTCAATAAAATACTAATTCAAATTTGTTTCTCTCTTATACTGTTTCATCAATTTCTTGGAAGCCAAATGGGTCATCAATGATCATACTTAAATACCAATCATTATTACAACGAAATCAAGAATCATACCCAAACATATATCATATATTCGTTAACATTTATACATATATGTGTAGAGATATGGAAAATTTAAAATGGGCTTGCCTGGGCTTCTTTGGTGGGAGCTAAAGGTTCCCACTGACCTTTTGCTTTTGAATCGTTTATAGTTGCGATTGAGCACTAAAACATAATAAAGAAATTCTTTAGAAGCCCATCTTAGTAAAGGTTTCTACTCTTTTTATTTACAAGAACTCTGCTGAAAAGGCAAAAAAAATACAAGAAATCATCACAAAGTACCATTTTTCAATCTTTATGGTGACATACGGAACTCCGGGAGTGTTGTTCGTTGATTTTACTCTTCTCAGCTTTTTGATTTTGGCGGGCTGAGTTTTTGCTCCTCTATTATTTTTGGAATTTGGAACTTTCAGTTTACTACAGAACCCCATAAAATGATAAATACTTTTTTTTTCGGTCAATTTTTCTATTAACTAGTGTATTCTTTCTTTTCTTATCTTTGTTTTACACAAAATAATATGCAAGCACACCACTTATCCGTTAGGAGCATTGTCATACCGCTTTGAAGTTAAATCTCAAACCGATTTGAAGTTAGGTCTCATCGCATACTTTGGACGCTCAATAATAAATTTAAATTATCGTATCTATAGAGACTCAAACCTAAACATTGAGCTAAAAAATCTATGTTCTTACCTATGGACCAACCGATCAGTTGTAATTAGTGTATTCTTTCAATATCCATTACAATATAAATTTGTATAGCCTATACTAATGGTTACTCGTGCAAAACATCGAATCTGCATGGATAATTAACATTTATATGTGTTCACCATCATAGTTTTAAAACTTAGCATAGAAATTAACCCGGTAAAAAAATCGGGTCAGTTGGTCATTGGTCAGACTGATTATTTAATAAAAAATTAAAATAAATATTAATAATAATAAATATACCAACAAATATAATAAGTTTAAAAATATCTAATGGGCCCAGCTTAGACGAGGCCCAGCTCAAGTAATGAGTCCGGTCCAGACAAGGCCCAACTTAAATAGTGGGGCTGGCCCTGAACAACGCCCGACTCAAGTAATGGGCCCGCCCCAGTCAAAGTCCAATGGGCCTGACCCATATGAGACCCAGTTCAGCTCATCACAGAGTCAAGAGTGCGCAGTCGGCATCCTGGAGCCAAAGAGTCAGTCACGCCATCCTGGAACTAAGGAGTCAGTCATGCCATCTTGGAGTCAAGGAGTTAGCTACGCCATCCTGAGACCTAGTCTGTAATTCATAAAGAGATCTCCATGCAATTCCCCATCCATTGCGAGAAAGGTACCACCTCCACCAAATTAGCCTATCTATTACGAATATGATGACTCAATTTGTTATGAGACGTCTATAAATTGTAAGTCTCACCTACACATGGAAGGCATCTTGCATTTTATCTTACCCTTGACTCACACGAGCTCCCCACATTCCTACAGCAACAAAACATCCCGACAACCAAAACCCTTCAAATTGGAGTAGGTCATCTTGATTGAACTACTATATCTCTATGTATTGGTTGTGTTGAGTTCTTCATTCTATTTACTGCATTTTATTAACCATACTGATCACTCGACAGGTGGTGCATAAGATCGATTTGTGCATCATCAGTAACCATGTTTAAGTTATATTGGATCAAATAAAACCCTTAAATTCAGACAAAAAAAATTACCAAATTCCAAATTAAAAACTCAGAATCACATTTCACAATATATCAACAATCAATTTGCTTCATTAAATATCAAAACTCTAAATGTAACCTTATAACCCTCATAAATCCACGGATCAAAAAAATCACAACCACATGCTACAACACCACAAATAAAAAATAACAAGAAAAATCAATTTTCTGTTGAGAATGTAGAGAACAGAGAGTGAGATGGGAAACAGAGCAATGAAAAAATTGAGGGCGTTGAGATTATGCTACAATAATCTAGTGAGAAATGACTATAACCTGTTCCTGGTAACCCCACACCGAATAAAAATTCTATAACAAGTTGAAGGAAAAACATGTCAAAACTCTGCATATTCTTCACCTAAAGTTGTATACCTAAGTTTTATAGGATTTTACAGAGAGTGGGGGGCCTTCGACTGTGTGTTGTGATGAGTCATTGGACCACACAAAGGCTCAAATGGTATCGAGGGGTGAAACTGCATAATTCAAGACAAAAAATGCCCAAAAAGGCTAATTGTTTATACCATTTTAATTGATCTGGTTGGTGGGTTGAACAGTTTTCTCATGAACTACACGGTTTATTGGGTTTTTTCCCAGTTTTTTTGCTCAACCGATCTAATATAAGAACCGAAACGATTTAAGCTCCAATTTGCCAATTTACTGGGTCAACTCGTCGGGCCTTCCCAAATTTTAAAACAGTGTTGATATCAGATATTTAACGGGACAGGTGACTGAGTCATCGGACCTCACACATGCTCAAATGGTTGCGAGAGAATGAATCTGCATAACATAAAGTAAAACGTTAGAATTTGTAAATTGTTGTGAACAAGGTTATTGAAACAACCCTTTATTGTGTCGTGAATCATGAGAACTGGAATGAATGGTAAAGGACAAAAAGGCAAAAACAACACAAACAAAAACAGGCAAAAACAACACAATCTGACAAGCCAACCATAAGTAATTTTGTCTGCAAGACTAAGTACCACACATGCATTATTTTCCACTGAAATTGTCTTTTAAAGGAAAGAACAGTAAAAACAACAGTAAAAATATATGTTATAAAGTAACATATATTAAAAGAACAACAGAGTTTCCTCCAATCGATTGAGCAATTGGTAGATTGTATTGGTATCAGTGCAAGCATATGCATCTTGTCCAGTTTTGAGAGTAGTTAATCATTCAATAGAAGTCAATATTCCCCAAAAATAATTCTATGGGCAATCCAACTCGTTCTATGAGCTATAGATAACTCTTTCTGAAACAAACATATAAAAAAATGAAAAATAAGAAAAAATGAGCTAGGTAATTTTAAATTGAAAATTTGATTGAATATTTTACCTTTCTTGGCAATCAAAATAAAGGAACCTCATCCGTTTTAAATTTGTTTCTCTCTTATACTGTTTCATCAGTTTCTTGGAAGCCAAATGGGTCATCAATGATCATACTTAAATACCACTCATTATTACACCAAAATTAAGAATCATACACAAACATATATCATATATTCATTTACATTTATATATATACGTGCAGAGATATGGGAAAATTAAAATGGGCTTGCCTGGGCTTCTTTGGTGGGAGCTAAAGGTTCCCACTGACCTTTTGTGTCTGTATCGTTCATAGCTGCGATTGAGAACTAAAACATAAACAAGAAATTCCTCAAAAACCCATCTTAGTAAAGGTTTGTATTCTTTTTATTTACAAGAACTCTGTTAAAAAGGGAAAAAAGTACAAGAAATCAACGCAAAGTACCATTTTTCGATCTTTATGGTGACGTACAAAACTCCGGGAATGTTGTTCGTTGGTTTACTCTTCTCAGCTCTCTAATTTATGCAGGCTGGGTTTTTGATCCTCTGTTACTTTTGGGATTTGGAACTTTCGGTTTACTGCGGAATCCCATAGAGTGATAAATACTTTTCCTTTCGGTCAATTTCTCCATTAACTAGTGTATTCTTTCTTTTCTTTTCTTTGTTTTATACAAAATAATATGCAGGCACACCACATATCTGTTAGGAGCATTGTCATACCGCTTTCAAGTGAAGTCTCAAACCGCTTCGAAAGTTAGGTCTCATCGCATACTTTGGACGCTCAATAATAAATTTAAATTATCATATCTATAGAGACTCAAACCAAAACGTTGAGCTAAAAAATATATGTTCTTACCTATGGGCCAACCGCTCAGTGGTAACTAGTGTATTCTTTCGGTATCCATTAC